TATTAACTAAAAAACCACGATATTACCTATGTTGTATTTTTATTTATTTTGTTAAACATTTCCCAATTACATTTTAATCTGGTTTGGTCCACATTCAGAAGTGGCCTACTGGCCATGAGTTTGACACCTCTGCTCTAGAGCTAAATAGAGTAAGTCAAAACTATCTTTCGCTGGATAATCATTCAAAGACTTAAAGACAGTGATTATGTTCCTCCTTAGTCTTTTCTTTTCCAGAATAATTAGTTGTGAGGATGTTGAGGTTAGGACGGATAGATTATGTGTTGAGGAAGGAGGGATAGATTCAAAAGGTGTAGGAAAGAAATCTTAGGCCTTGTTAATGTCGAATTAAGGCAACCAAGTTCATTTTATCAACTACTGACTTAATTTCCTGCTTTCCCAACCATGTCAATTTCTTGTGAGAATATTCTATAAACTCACATAGGGAATTGTTGCTAAGCGTTTATTACTAGGGAATAGGCACAATTTTGGAAAAGGTATTTTACAGTAGATTACATCTTTACCATTACACAATTGATAGAAAGATTTTGGAGAATATAAGATCCTAGCATCCTTATTGTTTGCTGAGCATTAAAAAAACAGTATTTGATTTGGTAGAGCAAAATGCTGCCTAAAAGACTCTTCCAGAAAGGTATCTCCCTTGTATCCATTAACATTATTTAAGATTCTTTGAAGGAAATAATAACAGTGATAACCCTGCTTAACTCTGCAGGGTGTTCTTGAGGTACATATGCCTTTCCTGGGTCTCCTCTGAGTGTACCATGGATGATGTTACCCATTCTGCATAAGTGTGAGGTCAGTCCTGCTCACCTGAGTCCATCCATGTTGATTCATTTGTGTCTTCACAGAGAAAAACTTTCTAAACACAAAGTTGTTTTTATAACCATAATGGGAAGTGGGGATAGGAAAAGGAAACTCTCAGGTTCTTACATTAAACCTTCCCTGTAGATTACTAATATTGGACTTTCCCTTTCAAGTTCAACATGGATCTTAGGCTTCTAGACGAGATCTTTCTCTGGCTCTTCTCCACTTCCTCCATTGGATAGGCATACAGTGACCCTAATAGTTCAGGCTGTTCCTCTCCATGTCTACAATATCATATACCACAGACCAGCTTTTACTTGTCTCAATTTGGGCCACTATATAATTGCTAGGTGGCATTATAACAGTTTAGAAAATTGTGACGAGAACATGAAGTCATCAGCTCTAATAAGCCTTTAGCTTTAAATAAATGTAACTAGCTCTTGTGTCAGAGGCTCCTTTCTGGCATGAGTACATTTTGGGGACCTCTCACTTCTCTGGCTTGTCACCCCCCTATCCCACACCCCAAACAGGCAGAACATGAGGATGTCAGTGTCTGGCACTTGCCTGGGTATAGCCACTAGCTCCCCTTACAAGCACTCAGGTTCATAAGACTCAAAGTATGGAAAAATCTTATTTACATTAAAAAGGACTTAAGTCTGAACCATAAAGAGTTGAGACATTCCCATTGGATTGTTTTTGCATCCAGAGATGTATATACTTTGTAACTTACTGAACTAATCTAGGTGACACTTTAACAAAGGAAGAAGGTGGAGAATGCTCCATATTGATTCTATCCTCCAAGACTCATTTGTCTATGGCAAGTTGCTTCCTGGAAGGTCTTTCCAGGAATTATTGGTGGCATTCCATTCTTTTCCTCTGATATCTCCTCTCATAGTCTGGCTCCAGTGTCCCTTTCTAGCCTCATTGTATTTCCCTTCACATACTTCATAAAAAGTCCAAAGTGGTTTTCTTGCTGCCTCTCACACATGGCACTCCACCTCCCATATTCATTCCTTTGCTGTTTCCTCATGCCTGGAATATGCCATCTTCTCATCTTTACCTCTTAGAAGCTGGTGAGTAGTAAACTGGATGGGAATTTGGAAAATTCAGCCTCTTAGGTCCCTTCCAATTTAACACAAAATGACTTTGATTCTAAGAGAGAGACCAGAAACTTGACAAAGTCTACCTCAATGAACTTCAGATAGAGATTGAGAGTCATCTTTGTGAATGTCACCTGGGGTGCTGCTGGGGACTCATTGTTAAGTATAGTCTCATGTACATTTCAGTAGAATAGGCTTCCACAGTTTGCATTGCAATTCAGTTCCATGAACACTGAGAATTCTCTGTGTGAAGAATTTTATTAGTCACTGAAGGTAAAGGGGAAGTTGTTGTTTAATTGTTTTTCAATCATATCGACTCTTCATTACCCCTTTTGGAATTTTCTTAGCAAAGATACTAGAATGGTTTGCCATTTCTTTTTCCAGCTCATTTTTACAGATGAGGAAACTGAGGTAATTGGGGTTAAGTAACTTGACCAGGGTCACACAGCTAGTAAATGTCTGAGGCTGGATTTGAACTGAGAAAGATGAGTCTTCCTGACTTTAGGCCTAGTGGTCTATCTACTGAGCAGCATGACATATTCCCCATCCTGAAGAAACTCAAGTTCTAGTAAGGGACATAAAGGCCAATTCAACTCCCTTCAACAAACATGCCAAGCACTGTGTGTGCAATATGGGTGAGAATACATTAAAATGAGTAGTACAGTCTTCTTAGGGTATAAGTACTAAAATCCATAGCTGTGCCAGAAGGCTTCATGCCCTAGTATGTCTTCACCGGGTAAAAATCTAGAGGCAGGAGAAGGGTTGCTGAATTTGGCATTAAAGACCTTGGTCTGAATTCCAACTCCATCAGTTACTGCCTTGGGCATGTTACTTTACCTGTCTAGGAGTCAAGTTTCCTCATCTGTAAAAAACGAGAGGTTTGATCAGATGACATCTAAAGTCTCTCCCAACCTATGATCCAAAGTACATGCCTCATACCCTTATTTTCCATCTTGGTAAGCTTTTCCAGGGCTTGTGACCAAGAGTGTCTTCGTGGCATTTTTTCAATGACACTTGCCTGTATTTATCCCCTGAATCACACTAACTTGTCCTATCAGCACCTCCTCAGGATTGATTTAGACCATGTAATCTCTGAGGACTTAGAGATTCATCTCTTGGCCACTCTGCCATTACAAGGGATTCAAAAGACAACAAAAGAAATATCTCTAGCTTTTAAAAAGCTCTGTTTTTCCATGTAAATTTCAAACTGCTTGTGTATAGCCAAGATCTAAATTATTTTATCCTTAAGGGCACAGCTAGGTAGTGCCATAGTGCATAGAACTCTGGGTCTGGAGTCAGGAAGGCTTGCTATCAAATCTGGTCTGACACTTCCTAGCTGTGTGACCAGGACAAGTCATTTAACCTCTGTCTGCCTCAGTTTCCTCTTCTGTAAAGTGGGGATAATAATAACCTTTCAGGGTTGTTGTGAAGCTCAAATGAGATAATAATTGTAAAACACTAAGCGTAGTGCCTGACACATAGTGAATGTTATATAAAGGTTTAACCATTATTATGGCCACTAAATGTAGGCAAGGGAGAGGCAGCTGGACAGAAGGTCTGGCCTTAGAGTCACGAAGATTGGGGCCATTTGCATTAGGCTGTGTGACACCAGGCAAGTGACAACTTCTCCTTGCCCTAGGCAGCTGTCTAAGGTTCAGACATTCTGCATTAGTGGAAAGAATTTCCACACTAGAAGTTTTCTGCACTGAAAAAAAAAATCACAAGTTGGGTCTAAAAAAAAAAAGAGAAAATTGTTCAAGTGTATTTATGTCATATTTATGTATTTATAGTATTTATATAAACTATTTGTTGGAGCTGAATAAGAAGTTACTTTATATATTGTTTCTATTTTCTTTTCTTCTCTCCTCTTTTTTTTGTTTCATTTTGTTACATGGTTATAGTTATTTTGTGAGCCCATCATTCTCATGTTATTTGGAGAAAATACTTTTTTCCCCCAGATTTTTTATTTGACTTGATAATTGTTCATTTTTTTTGGTCAAATTCACTCTTTACTACTATATTTGCTACTTTCTCAGCTTATAGCCAATATGCCCTTTATATTTCCTGAATTCAGTTCTTAGTTTATGATGTTATATCTTTGCTACATTTCCTAAAAGCAAAATAAGTTGTTGGTGTTGGTAGTTGTGTCTGATTTTCTTGAATTGGTTTGCCATTTCCTTCTCTAGTTCATTTTACAGATGAGGAAACTGAGGTAAACAGGATTAAGTGATTTGCCCAAAGTCACACAGCTACTAAGTGTCTGAGGTCAAATTCGAACTCTGGCCTTCCTGATTCCAGGCCCTCACTCTATCCACTGCACTACCTAGCAGCTCTATAAACAAATGGTATAAATGGCTTATTTTTATATTTTAAAATATAAATTAAAATTTTAACTAAGTAAAATAACAGAAATAAAGTAAGTAAAATAACAGAACAAGAAGCCTGTTTTTCATTTAAAAAGCACTGTTAGCAGTCTAAAAGAAATATATATATATGTATATATATATGTGTATATATATATGTATATATATATATATATATATGTATATTAGCTTGATTCCATAGTTTCAAAAACAAAAATAATTTTGTAGATCCTCCCCAAAGACATGATACCTGCTAGAGCTCCTGTCTCAGAGCAGCAACATGTGGGAATGAGCACGGTTTAACAAGTCACAGCCCTGGGTTCTAGTCCCAGTTGGCCCTTAATTAGTGGTATGGCTATGGACAAGTTCCTAACCCCTCCATTTCCCCATCTTTAAAATGAGTGGGTTGAATTAGATCAGAGGTGTCAAATGACCCATCTAACACACTTTTCCTAAGTGTGGCCAGAGTCCGATTAAAATGTAATTGGGCAATAGTTAACAAAAAACATAAAAATACAATCAAACATAGATAGTATTATTTTAAAGCTAAGTCAACATGGGAATGTAGGGATCCTTATGTAGGATTTTGTGGTCCCGATTTCTATTTGAGTTTGATACCATTGCATTAGATTTTTTCCAGCTCTAAATCCATGATCTACGAACCCATAAAGTTCCTTCTTTCTGTAACATTTTATGTTTTTCTGTTCGCTTGAAGACGCATGTTTCCTGTCTTGAAGATCAGTGTAACTGGGTTGGATCCCAACGCCATGTACTCCTTCCTGCTAGACTTCACCCCGACTGACAGTCACCGGTGGAAATATGTCAATGGTGAATGGGTGCCAGCCGGCAAGCCAGAAGCCTCCAACCACAGCTGCGTCTATATCCACCCAGATTCTCCCAACTTTGGTGCCCACTGGATGAAAGCCCCCATCTCCTTCAGCAAAGTGAAGCTTACCAACAAACTCAATGGAGGTGGGCAGGTAGGACTTCAAGAGTCACCAAACAAGAAATATCAAGGGTGCATTTAGGCAATTAGAGGGACCCTCACAGAGCTCTTATTCCACAGAAGGCAATTATTCCCTGGAGTCCAAATGTAAAGAGGAATAAACAGCTCTTAATTGGTGCTTTCAGATTTTAATGGACTTTCAGATGTTAAGAGAGAGTGAGAGAGAGGGGTGTAGTGAAGTAGTTTACTTAATCATGGGGGCCTTTTCATAGTTTTGTCTTGTGTACTCAGGCTTTTATACAGGACTTCAGATGAGGGGGAAAACATTGTCTGTGAGTATTAGACTTTTGTTATTCCTCTTGTTTTTTTGTATAAGTGGCATGTTGGCAATAGGTAAGTACCTTAATAAAAAGCCGCCCCTGAATGAAATAATTACAGCCTCCACTTTGGATAATTATCAATAGAATATTCAATCAGCTTTGGTTTTTAGAAGAAGAAAAAGAAAAAAAAACCTAAACAAAACATCCCTAAATCAGGAACGTTCTCTTCAAGGCTATCAAAGAGCTAGAAACAGATTTGTATGTGTCTGTATTTGAAAAGTGACTAAACAGCATCAGGTAAGTGAGGCTCTGTTGAGGCCGTCCAATCAGTTTTCAAAATGAAGGCCGTGTTGTCTATTGGTGATAGAAGCCTGCCCAGAGAATATAGTACCTGGGGCAAAGATACAATAAAACATACTGGCAACAAGTTGGTGGCAGTAGAAAGACCTTAGACCATGGTGCATAAGGCAGTGGGCAGGTATGTATGTACACATATATGTACTTGTGTATATGCATGCAAGGGGGAGACATAGAAAGAGTCTGAGGGAGTAGGCTACCTACCCTGTGGGCAGAGATCCTGAGGTACTTTGAGGCCACCTCTGGAGGTTGACTGGGAGCGGAGGAGGAAGCAGTATGGTTATCGTGTTGGGAAGAAGAGGAAGCTACCATCTGGAAGCTATCTATTTTAATGGATTATTCTTATTCACCAGGTACTAAACTCAGTAGTTTCTACCTGCTAAAAGGAGCACAAGTTCTATCAGCACCTTCTAAATTTTGGTACCCTGGGACAGAGTCCCAGTTGCCCTGTTCAAGTTATGGTTCTTCTTTTTCAAGAGGAAAGCCATCCTAGTTGTTAGCATCCTCTTTCTCCTCAAATTCCTTTTAATTGTATCTTTTATTCCCTTTCACCTTCAATAGAAAGTAAGCTCTCTCCTACAGGTTGGAGAATACTATTTTTTTGTCTTCATTTCCACATCATTTGGATCAGTGCTTACCTCAAAGAGATCAATAACCAAGAGATTAATAACCTTTCTTTTGTTTGAGCTTTCTTGCACAAAATATCTAATATGGAAATGTTTTATATGATTGTATGTATATAACCTATATCAGATTGCCTACCATCTCAAGGCGGGAGGGAAGGATAGAATTTGGAACTCAAAACTTAAAGCCCAGAGAATGTTAAAAATATTTTTATATGTAATTGAGAAAAAATATTATTTAAAAATAAATTAAAAAGTAAAAAAATTAAATAATTTAAAAAAGAGATTAATAGATGTTTGTTGAATCCAATTCAATTCAGTCTAGTTCAACTCTTCCCCTCTTCCCCACACACTTTACAAATGTGGGAAAATGAGGTTCAGGGGGGTTAATTGCTTTGCTAAAGGTATTGAGCCAATAAGTGGCAGAGGTCAGACTTATATCTAGGTCTCCTAACTCCCATTGTAGTATACTGTTTTCCTTCAGCTCCATTACAGTTTCCTGACCACCAAAAATATATGTGTGGTGTGTGTGTGTGTGTGTGTGTGTGTGTGTGTGTGTGTGTGTGTGTGTGTGTGTGAGAGAGAGAGAGAGAGAGAGAGAGAGAGAGAGAGACAGAGACAGAGACAGAGACAGAGACAGAGACAGTGTTTCTCAGGACCTCCTGGTACTGTAGAGAAATGCTGGATTTTGATTTAGTGGTCTTGGGTTCAAATCCCAGATCTGTTATTTATGAGCTTTGTGACTTTAGGCAAGTCACCTTTGTTTGTAACCATATAAAGGAGGTTAGACTAGATGACTTTTAAGGTCCCTTCCAGCTCTGAATCTTTGATTTTATTTTCTTAAACACTGATTTCCCAGGGTGTAACAGATAAGGATAAGGAATAGGTATAGTGGGTCAAGCTTTAATAATAATGTTCAATGTTGATAAAGTATGCATCAATTCAACTCAACAAACATTAGGCAGCCACCATGTACAAGGCATTGTGCCAATAAAAGATAAAACATGAAACTATTGCAGACCCCAAAGGAAGGGAATGAGCATTTATATAGCACCTACTGCATGCCAGGCTCTTTATAAATGTTACCTCATTTGATTCTTACAACCACAGTGCTATTATGATCTTCATTTTAGCATGCGGGAAACTGAAGCAAAGAGAGGTTAAATGACTTATCTAGGGTCACGCAGCTAGTAGCTGAGGCCAGATTTGAACCTAGGTTTATCCTGAATTGAGGCCTGGCACTCTATCCACTGTACCACCTAGCTGTCTCTAGCCTCAAGGAGGTAAAAGTCTGACTCAGCTCCAGTGCTTTTCTTCCAATTGTGCTACAAGATAAATGTGAACCTTTAATCAAGGAAACACATTTATTAATCACTTATATAATAATAACAGCTATTATAATATATAATATTATATATAATATAATTATAATAACTAATATAGTATTGCCTACTGTGTATCAGGTACTAAGCTAAGTGCTTTACAAATATTATTTCTTTTGAGCCTCACAAAAGCCCTGTGAGTTAGGTGCTGTTATGATCCCTATCTTATAGTTGGAGAAACTAAGGCAGACAGAGGTTAATTGTCTGAGGTCAGATTTGAAATCAGGTCTTCCTCACTTTAAGCCCAATGCTGTATCCACTGTATCACTTAGCTGCCTTCCAGTAACTAAATTAAGAGCCTGACTTTCCCTTTCTGTGAGGAAAGCAAGTATAGTAAAATAAGTGAAATCAACATTCTTTGTACCTGTCCTTAAAACTGCTACTTGCCTGAGAAGACCAGCTATTTGCGAGGCTATTTTAGTTATAAAGTACTGTGAGGGAAATGCAGCTGAGCACAAGTGAGACTTCACTACCAGTGGCTTTGAATGAAAATTCCCTTCTCCATCTATTGCTATGGCAAGCTGCTATTGGTGAAGGGTATGGGTGATCGAAGTGAGGTACATGACAGGGCAAAGGCCTCCTGGCTTTCCTTGCCCGCATCAGGCTAGTTTTTATCTCTTACTTTCCTGTTTATCTCTCTTGGCCCTCTCTCTTTTTCTTCGACAGATAATGCTGAACTCTCTGCATAAATACGAACCCCAGGTTCATGTAGTTCGAGTTGGCAGTACTCACCGGATGGTGATGAATTGCTCCTTTCCTGAAACTCAGTTCATAGCTGTGACCGCCTATCAGAATGAGGAGGTAGGTGGGTTCAGTTTATTTACATGTTGGCCCCTAGTGGTGTTGCTACATCATGAGACAAAGGCACCCCTATGTTCACAAAAGCTATGATAGCTAAAGGTAAGGTCCGGCAGATCCCACCGAGCTGGAAAGCATTCGAGCACAGGTTGTTGATAGATCATGTGTCTCTTTTGAGGACCAGCTAGTCAAATGAGGAAAAGTTCATCACCAGAAGAATGGCCACAGGTGATGACTTTTTTTTTTCCACACTGGCTGTCTATGCAAGGCTTGAGATCTGGGTCAGTAGAGGGAGTGCTCATGCCTAGGAAATCACAGGTCCATTAATCAACAGGGTAAGCAGGTTTCTAAAATTACAATATTTCTAGATCCAAAGCTTTTCCTTTTATAAAAGATCTGTTGGTCAAAGTCAACCTCTATTAGCGATCATATTTGTAAATCATATTGCACAGCAATTTTCTAGCCCTGAAGCTTAGGGAATAAGTGCAGAGATGAATGAATGGGGAATCTAAATGTGGGTGCTTCTCATTCCAGTTCAGTGACTACTTAATTTCAAGATAGGCCCTTGATTTCTGGGCTTCTTAAGAGAACTCACGTGTTCTAGGTCACTTCCAAGTCTTTAGCTTCCTGAGGACATCCCCAGCCTGGGCATCTGCCTAGTCTCTGTTAAATTCACAATACATTTGTTAGACACAGTGTAGAGGAGGAGTCTGTAATCTTTTCTTGTGTCCAGGATATAGATGCAGGATCCAGGATCTGCTTGCCAAAGGGAAGCAGACTGATAAAGACTATTCATCTCTCCTCAGAATAATATCTTTAAATGCAAAAAATAAAATATTTAGGATTACAAAGTAAACCAATTATATTGAAATGTAGATATCAAAATATTCTAGCAAAACAAATTCACAGCTTCCAGATTAAGAATCTCTGGTGTAGAGGCCTGGCCTATGTTTGTCACGATGCAAGGTTTGAAAGCAACATGGTCCCTGTTGTCATTGTTCAATGTCCTGCTAGTGCTCATCTCTTATCCTCACAGCAGCTATCCCTGTCTGGGCGTTTTTCACTCCAGTATCTAATCACTTCTCTACTTGTCAAAACCCAGAGCAATTGCTGAGCTGGAAGCAGCGACATTTATCTACCCGCTCTCCCCCACCCCCAATACAAATCATCAGGAGGTAAAAGGAAAATGAAGGACTACCAAAACAAGTGCTCAGTGCTCACAGCTCTCTAACTCTGGAGGTATTTTAGGTAATGGGTTATTGTTATCGAAAATAGTTTGTATAATCGTATACCTCAGTGAGTGAATAATAAAAAGTAATGATCTAGTTCCCCAGGCAGAGTCTATTAGCTCTATCTATACCACCCAGCTGTTTTCTGTCACTGTTCATTCCCAAGCCCAGATGGGGAGCAAGACTTCCTTCCTTCCCTCCCTCCTTCCCTCCTTCCTTCCTTCCTTCTTCCTTCCTTCCTTCCTTCCTTCCTTCCTTCCTTCCTTCCTTCCTTCCTTCCTTCTTCCTTCCTTCTTCCTTCTTCCTTCCTTCCTTCCTTCTTCCTTCCTTCCTTCCTTCCTTCCTTCCTTCCTCCCTTCCTCCCTTCCTTCTTCCTTCCTCCTCCTCCCTTCCTCCTCCTCCCTCCCTCCTTCCTCCCTCCCTCTCCTTCCTCCTCCCTCCCTTCCTCCCTCCCTCCCTTCCTTCCTTCCCTCCCTCCTTCCCTCCTTCCTTCCCTCCTTCCTTCCTTCCTTCCTTCCTTCCTTCCTTCCTTCCTTCCTTCCTTCCTTCCTTCCTTCCTTCCTTCCTTCCTTCTTCCTTCCTTCCTTCCTTCCTTCCTTCCTTCCTCTCTTCCTTCCTCCTCCCTCCCTTCCTCCCTTCCTTCCTCCCTCCCTCCCTCCTCTCCCTCCCTCCCTCCCTTCCTCTCTCCCTCCCTCCCTTCCCTCCTGCCTCCCTCCCTCCCTTCCCTTCCTGCCTCCCTCCCTCCCTCCCTCCCTTCCTTCCTTCCTCCCTCCCTCCCTTCCCTCCTTCCTTCCTTCCTTCCTTCCTTCCTTCCTTCCTTCCTTCCTTCCTTCCTTCCTTCCTTCCTCCCTCCCTCCTCCCTTCCTCCCTTCCTCCCTTCCTTCCTTCCTCCTTCCTCCCTCCTCCCTCCCTCCCTCCCTTCCTCCCTCCCTCCCTCCTCCCTCCCTCCCTCCCTTCCTTCCTTCCTTCCTTCCTTCCTTCTTCCTTCCTTCCTTCCTTCCTTCCTTCCTTCCTTCCTTCCTTCCTTCCTTCCTTTCTTTCTTTCTTCTTTCTTTCTTTTTTCTTTCTTTCTTTCTTTCTTTCTTTCTTTCTTTCTTTCTTTCTTTCTTTCTTTCTTTCTTTCTTTCTTTCTTTCTTTCTTTTCTTTCTTTCTCTCCTGGAATTCAAATGTATTCAGAAAATTAGGAAGTCAAGCCATTCTCTTTTCTCTGTTGTGTTTGCCAGTCTCACCTGCCAGTACTTCTCCTCCTTATACCACTAAGGTCACGATTAGGAGTCACTTTAGAGCCAAAACCTCAGGTCAGCAGCATCACAAATGCCTTTAGTTTACAGCATCGACTAAGTTCTTTGTTCTGGGCTGGTGAGCCAGGAGCTGTGTAGTGTGATACCGCCCCCTCTCTTCTCATATACATTCTATAGAAGGACTTCGAAAGTGAATGTATGTATATTTCTATCTGCCCTTCCTTGGGGTTTCCTGATTTTGTGGGTCCTACTTACTAAGAGCAGGAAGTGAGGATTCCAATCTTGTCTCTGTCATTAACCATCTGTGTGAACTCTCATGGGATCATAGATTTAGAAGTAGAAGTTCCTTAGAAATTATCTAGTCTAGCAGTTTTCAAAGTGTAGTCTGGAGTTGCCCAAGGGTCCCCAATACCCTGTCAGAGGCACTGCAAGGTCAAAACTCTTTCCAAAATAATATAAAAAGTTTTTCATTTCTAATATGGTAAATATCAACAGATACAAGCTTCTTGGGGGAGGATCCTCAATAATTTTTATAGGTGGAAGAGGGTCCAGAGGCCAAAAAAATGTGAGAGCTGCTGGTCAAGTCTGACCTTCTGCTTTTACAGATGAGGAAATGGAGGTCCAGAAAAGGGAATTGAACTGCCCAAGATCATACGGATATTAAGGGGCAGAACTGGGATAAGAAGCCAGGTTCTCTGACACTAAATCCAGAGCTTTTTGCCCCACACTATGCTGATTTTGGATAAGTCACTTGACTTTTCACTTGGCTTTATCATTTGTAAAATGAGGAAATTGGACTGACTGATCTCTAAGGGTCCACCTAGAACTAAAGATCTCTGGTTCTGAACACAAGTACATGATTGGCCTACCCATTAAGATGAGTCCCTTCTCCCTCTCTTCCTTACTCTGGCAATCGGAGCTCCAGACTGGGCAGTACCGGGAGTAGGGTACACCTGCCAGTGGGGTCCTTGGAAAAGTACAGGCAGGGCACTAGCATGACCACAAACTCTCAGTTGGTGAGACAGGTCAATGGAAGGAAGTGTATCCTTTGCCCAATTACTTAATGTAGGCTTATAGAAAATCAGTACAAAAAAGGTTTATTTCTCCAAGTTTTCAAAACAAACCTGTTCCCCTCCAGTACAAAATGAAGGAAGTTGGTATTATCTTTGCTTTGCTGGGTATCAGTTGCCTAAATGAATAGGTAAGTGACTTTTTACAGGGCAGTCTTACTCTTAGTGTATTTCAGCTGGGGCATAAAGAATCAGAGCCCAGGCTTTGTTCCCTGGTGCCTCATCCTTTAGTATTTATAATATTTAGTATTTATATTATATTTATAATATTTAGTATTAGTTGTAATTTTCTGCATGTCATCCATTAGGATGACCTTTTCCAAACATTGTGGATGTGGTCAGGATCCTATGCAGGTTAGAGAGAAGGTATTTGGTAAGGGAGGAAGTTGAAACAGTTTCATAGTAGTTCAGAAGAGTGAGTATAGAACCTGGTCTGTGCCTTAGCATAGGCAGCTGGTGAATACAGCCCAGGGTCTGGAGTTAAGAAGACCTGAGTTCAAATTTAACCTTAGACACTTACTAGCTGTGTAACCTTGAGCAAGTCCCTTAATTTCTGAAGCCTTCTCAACTGTAAAATGGGGAAAAGAATAACACCTATCTTCCAGGGTTGTTGTGAAGATCAAATGTGGTAATTATTGTAAAGCAAATAATGCTGCATAATTAGTGCTACATGTGCATTTATTATTATCATTATCTCCACTAATGCTAGTTGTTTTTGCAAATCCAAGATAACTGCTCTCAAAATCAAGTACAACCCATTTGCCAAAGCCTTCTTGGATGCCAAGGAACGGTGAGTAGATGTCTGTGATTACAAGGAAATCTCATGTTTAAATTCCACCAACGTAGAATCGATGACTATTTTGACCAAGAGCGTCTTGATACCACCTAAGAAAGGGCTTGCTAAGCTAGCTAGATGTCAATGTTGTTTAAGAGGATGAACTATCTTGCAAGTACTTTGAAGCCCTCATTTACATATAAATTACTGATATGGTAATTACAGATTTTTTAATTTTTGCCTTAATGAGAGGCTATTAAGACTTCTACTTGGAAATACTTTGTTAGTCCCATTTGAATACCCAAGTAGGTGTTTGACAGTGGTAAAAATACATTAAAAATAGTATATAATTCAGATTTTTTAACTCAGTTTTTACTCAATTAGTCCTAATTTGCATCAATTGCCTAGGAAACTTGGGTAACGGGAGATAGCACAATGTAGTAGAATAAACACCAAGACTCAGAATGAACTCAGAGACCCTCTTCTGCTGTATGACATTGGGCAGATGACATAACTTCTTTGGGCCTTGGTTTCTTCATCTATAAAATAAGGGAGTTTGTTAATTGGATTTTCTCTTCCAGTTCTAAAAGTGGTATGATTCGATGAAGCCTATGTTAATTAGACAGAAAGCTTGAATAAACCTCTGGGTCTGAATGCTAATTTTTCCACTGTGAGTGTATCATTCTACCTCTGTCTTTCTTTAACATTCTGTAGAAAACAATGTAGGAAAATTATGCTCTTCCTGAGGCTACAGTGTGTGTGTGTGTGTGTGTGTGTGTGTGTGTGTGTGTGTGTGTGTGTGTGTGTGGGTGTGTGTGTGGAGGGGTGTGGGGTGAGGTGAGTGAATGGGGGTGGAATTTAATGAATCAACAAATGTCCATTAAGTTCCTACTATGTGCCAGCCACAGTGTTTGGTGCTGAAGTTACAAAGACAAAAGTAAGCCAATCTCTGCCTTCAAGGACTTTACAATAGCCAAACAATGTGTGTGGGGGGTCCGGCGAGATTCTCTCCTATGATATACTCAGCAAGTAACTATCCAGCCTCTGTCTGAAGACCTCCAATAAGGGGGACACACTGCTACCCAAGACAGCACATTCTGTTTTTGGACAGCTCCAATTGTTAAGACTTCTCCCCTCTATCAACATCAAACCTAAGTCCATCTCTTTGCAAAGTCTATCCTTCATTCCTCGTCCAGGGCACTGTGCTAGACACTGTGTAAAAGAAAAAAAGAAGGAAAAAAAGGGAAAAAAAAGAAAAAGAAAATTACATGGTGCTGTGTTAGGGACGTATGGTGTGAGATAGAATTGACAAGGGCAAAAGAGAAATTAAGACCAAAAACCCTAGGCAAAATGAAGGGGAGATCATTTTTAGCTTGAAGAGATGAAGATTGCATTCATGGAGGGGGTAGCACCTGAACGCCACATTGTCGAAAAGGAAAGGATTTCTCTAGGTGATGCTCGGCAAATACCTTTGGGAATGGATGGAGACAGATTATATAATGAGTTTAGGGTGCAGTAGTTCACTTTGGCTGGCTTCGAGATTTTGGCAATGAGGAATAATGTGAAAAGAGGTTGGAGAAAAGGAATTTATATGTTGTCTTACAGGCAATACGGAGCCCTTGAAAGTTTTTGAAGAAGGAAATGAGGTGCTCCTCATTTTGTGGGTGCCTATAGACACTAAACAACTGCAGTGAGATCTGGAACCTCTGGGCTGGTGTTCCTCAACTGCCCCCCTGTGCCCCTTTTTTAACCATAGTTGCAGTTTGGATTATTATTATTTTTTCCTTTTTTTTTCCTTTTCTTTTTTGCTTTTTGTTGAGGCAGTCAGGATTAAGTGACTTTCTCAGGGTCATACAGCTAGTAAGTATCACGTGTCTGAGGCCGCATTTGAACTCAGATCCTCCTGACTCCAAGGCCAGAGCTCTATCCACTGCACCACCTAGCTGCCCCAGTTTGGATTATTATGACTGGAGGGCTAGGTGGGCATGGCAGTCAAGCTTCAGGGAGGTCACATGCTATTGAGTGATTTTTTTTTCTTGTATATCTTTGTGCTGGACTGGGTTGCAAACTGCCTGGGGTCTTGGGCACAGAAACACCAAATAATTTGAAAAATGTTGTCATTTTGTTATAAGGTTAGCAACAGATACATATTGACAAAAGTTTCTGAGAAGGGGCAGCTAGGTGGTGCAGTGCATAGAGCACTGGCCCTTCATTCAGGAGGACCTGAGTTCAAACACAGTCTCAGACATATAACACTTACTATAGCTGTGTGACCCTGGGCAAGTCACTTAACCCCATTGCCTAGCCAAAAAAAAAAAGATTAAAAGTTTTGAGGCAGGTAGGTGGCACAGTGGATAGAGAACCGTCCCTGAAGTCAGTAGGACCTGAGTTCAAATCTGGCCTCAGACCAAACACTTGACACTTACTAGCTGTGTGACCCTGGGCAAGTCACTTAACCCCAATTGCCTAAAAAAAGAGTTTCTGAGATCCTCTCTGTTCTACCGAGAATTCTTACAATAGAGGACTATGGAACCCTGGGCTTGGAACAGTTTATATGAAAGTGTCAGTGGATAACTGATAGTTGCATGTGCTCTATTTCAGATATAAAATCTCAAACAAGTGCCCTGGTTGGGGTAAATGGGATAGTAGAACCTAGGAGAAGGAATGTTTGGCTTATTGGTAAAGGGTGGGGGGCAAGGCGTGCCATGAGTTCTTTTAGGAAGTGTCCTGAAGAATGAGGAAATCAGACATTGCTCTATTTCTTCTTTCAGAAACCACCCAAAAGATGCTCCAGAAGTTATCTCAGAGAGCCAGCATGTTACGTACTCCCACTGTAAGTTTCATTGAATGTTTGCAAATCATAGGTAAGAGTATCCTAGAGGAATTCTCCAATAACTTGGTTTGATTAATTAAGATAAAGTGAAACCTTCCAACAGGGCCCAGATTGGTATTTTGCCAGCTCAATGGAAATTTATACCTTTTGCAAAACTCCTAGTGATGTTCAGAGTTTTGTCATCTTGAATATTAATCAGGGTCTGGGAGCAAAAATTACTTACATGGGAAAACCTGACAATATGACTGTTTAAAGTGGGATTCTTAACCTTCTTTGTGTGATGGACCCTGTCCAGAGAAGCCTATGAACCCCTCTTCCGAGCAAGATTTTTAAATGCATAAAATCAGATACATTGCATTACAAAGGAAACCACATTGGAATGTAGTTATCAAAATATTTAAAAAAAAGTTTGCAGACTCCAGGTAAAAGTAAGAGCCCCTTGACTCTAAAGATTTACATGGTGTTGGATTAAGAGTCTCTGAAGTGCTTTCTAGAGGGTCCCTTCTGCTTTCTCTGTTTTTACTATTTCAACACTAGTCCTGAACCCAGGACCCAAATCTGGCTTTCTGGTTAATCCATGAGGAAGGGCAGAGTACTTACCTAAAGATGCTCTTGCTCTGCTTCCTAGCATTCTGGCCCACTCCACCCTCTCACCCCTCCACATCTTCCCATTTCACCACCAGATATCAAAGTCACAGAGAAGGGAAAAGGAAAAATCTCACCAGGTAGTGGAAGGCATGCCTGGTCCCAGTGTCTGTAATGACAACAGCCACTTCCTGCATGATTGACAGGAAAATCCCTAAGTCCCAGGGTCATTGGAAATTCTCTCTGATGCCTTTGATTTCCCTCCTGTTGTTGTCTCGGAGCCTGGGGTCACAAGACTTCACACTGAAAACTCCCTCTCTGTGCTGCATCCCCGAGGGTTTTCCCTTTTTAGTCCTAACACTTCCATTTCTGGATTGAGGATGCCCAGGAGATTCAGAGATTCCTGCTTCATCCCTTTTTTGTCACCAGAACTTTATTACTCTTCTAGACCCTCTAGACCCTTGTCTTTTGTGACAGGTTATTACAAAAATATAGAGGAAAGCACTTTGCTGAAACAATGCATTAAATACACAAATAAATATGATACAAGGTAGAATGTGATAGGGGCAGAGGGAAAGATCCAGGTATAACTCCAGGAAAAAACTAGGGAGAAAGCTGATATTTTCATCTGGGGAGTGGGCAGGTGGGAAATATCAAAGAAGACTTCATGGAGGAAGTGGCACCAAGGCTGGGTCTTAAAGGAAGGGCAGGATTTCAACAAGCAGAAATGAAGAAGGAAGTGCATTCTAGGAGATCATTTGGGTGAACACAGTTGTGGATTTCTTTTTTTAAAATTAATTTATTTTGATTTATCAACAATCACTTCTGTATGCTTTTGAGTTTAAAATTTTTCTCCCCAAGATGGCATGCAATCTAATATAGGCTATACATATACATTCCTATTAAACACTTTCACATTAGTGATGTTGTAAGGAAGAATTAGAACTAACAGGAGGAGAAAACAAAACACAACAGAAGAAAAAAATAGCAAATAGTATGCTTCAATCTGCATTCAAACCCCACAGTTCTTTCTTCTTCATGGAGAGCATTTTCTATCATGAGGCCTTTGGAGATGTCTTTGATCCTTGTATTGCTGAGAAGGGTTAAGTTTATCAATATTAATCATTGCACACTGTGGCTGTTACTGCGTACAGCATTCTCCTGGTTCTGCTCACTCCACTTAGCATCAGTCCATACAAGTCTTTCCAGGTTTATCTGAAGTCTACCTGTTCATCATTTCTTATAGCACAATAGTATTCTATTACATTCATATGCCACAACTTGTTCAGCCATTCCCCAATTGATGGACATCCTTTCAATTTCCAATTCTTTGCCACCGCAGAAAGAGCTGCTATAAATATTCTTGTATACGTAGGTCCTTTTCTCATTTGTATGATCTCTCTGGGATATAGCCCTAGAAGTGCTATTGCTGGGTCAAAGGGTATGCACATTTTTATAGCCCTTTGGGCATACTTCCAAATTGCTCTCCAAAATAGTTGGATCATTTCACAACAGTTGTAGCTTTCTTCATTTTCTGCCCTATGCCACAGTGGCTATTTAATTATAGCTGTAATATTCCCCCAGAAGTGACAGTACAGTTTAAAAGGCATCTCCAGAGATAGATATTTTCTAAAGAGATGATATATTAATATATTACGCACACACACACACACACACACACAACCTTGCATATGTTGTAGCCCACATGAAAGTCCTACCCACTGTGCAGAAACATCAAACTTATCTGTGTTTCACTGATCTCAGTAAAGCATTTAACATGGATGTCTCCCAAGTTTCTCATAGGGAGCCGAGTGTTTTATGTGGTTTGCTTGGCTCAAGTCAGAGGTGGCTCAACATTTTTATTACATTTCATTACAATTTTTATTATAATTATGACACTTGCAAAATGACATTGATATTTTAATTGCCTAGGACTGGTCCTAGGGAGTCCTTCAGATTTGGTGTGGAGGGTGGATGAAGAGCATTGGGCTATTCTCACACGAGCTGACTTTATTAGCAAAAAAAGGGGGTGGTGGAACTGAATAATGGACACAGAGAAACATATGATCATAAATGTAACTTGTGAGCTACATGAAGACAAGGGACCCTGTTCACCTAACTGTGCAATGGGAGAGATACAGCCCTCTGAACACAGTACATACCCCATCCTCCCAGCTCTCCCTTCTCTCTCCTCCCCCAAATAAGTGTGTGCTGAATTGAATTATTATATAACTTGCCATCTAATTTGGGGGCTGGAACATTTTTGTCTTCTTTCTCTGTTTCTTCCAGTGGGAGGTTGGCTCATTTCTAATCCAGATGCCATGTGCACATCAGGGAACTCCAACTACCAGTACCCTGCTCCTCTGCCTTTGGCCTCTCCCCACTCCCACCATGGCTGTGAGCACTACTCTGGTCTCCACGGACGCAGGGCAGCTCCCTACCCTCCTCCCTACATGCATAGAAACCATTCTTCTACAGGTGTGTGACTCTGCTAATGATGCCCATGGGCAATGGGGGTGAAACAAACATGCAGTATGAAGGAAGACTGAAGTTAGCAGCTTTGTCCCTCACTCCCATCTGCTATTTTTTTCAGCAAAAAAAAATACACATATATATTTAATCAGATATGATTGTTCTGAAAAAAAAATCCCTATAGTTTTGCTCACAATATTTGGAGAAATGTCTATTGTTTATCTTTTCTTAATTGTGAACAGCCTTGCTCCAGGCTGACTGATGTCAATGATAATAGCAATAATAATAACTGATAATTATTTAAAACTTCTTTGAGATTTGCAAAGTACTTTATATATGTTATTTCATTTGAACCTCATATCAACTGTGAGGTAGGTACTACAGACATTATTCCTGTTTTATATTTGGGGATACTGAAGTTCAGAGAGCTTAAGTGATTTACTCATGGTTCCATAATGGGATTCGAACCCATCTTTTCCTAAGTTCAAGTACAGGACTATGTTTTGGATAGTTTTCAGGATGCATATGGCTGAGTCATGGAGCAAACCCATTTAATTCATCATGTGTCTCCTCTATGGCTACATTGAATAGCGGGAACCTGAAAGTTTGGGCTTCAACATTGGGGGGCTCTTAAGATGGTCTCTAGTGGGAACTGGATCCATTGAATGTCTCATTCTTAGTTTGATTCATGGACACCCATCCTTTGCATTTCATCAATATTTTTTCCATCTGGAAGATGATGATGTCGATATTAGTAATTCACATTTACATAGTGTTTTAAGGTTAACAAGGGTGATTTTTTGGGTAAGTAGTAAAAATGTTATTGTCCCCATTTCAGAGTTAAGGAAAATGAGGTTCAAAGAGGTTACATCCTAATGTAAAACGGCCAGTCATTATTAGAACTGGGGCTCACACAGACATTCTGACTTCAAAAGCCACTGCAACCTAGGACCATAGACTTAGAAGCTGAAGATGACTTGGAGGTCACCTAATCCAACACTTTCGTTTCACAAATGAACCTTGGGGAAGTCTAGTGATTTGCCCAAAATAACAAAATAATTGACAGAGCTATCATTCTAACCCAGGACCTCAGGATTTATATCCAATATTTCCCCCCTACTCTACTCCAGAATGCTAGAGAGTACAAGCAAGAACAGCAAGATTTAAGTACTTGTGTTCTGCTTTCCTTGCTGGATACTATTACACTTTCACAAACACAGGACTTCCAATAGCTCTCTCCTGCTTAAAAAAAAAATCCCCATCTCTTAGGCATTGGTCCACTGCTCCCTGCTTTGCTGGTTACTCCCATAAAGTGACTAGTTAAAATTCAGAAAGTGTAGCAATCTAATCCAAATTATTACATAGCTTTACTGTTACACTGGCGCTAAATTCTTCACTTCCTCCTCCCCTTTCCTCTTTTCCCCCTTTTCCCCTTCCCCCTTCCTTTCCCCTCCCCCTCCCCTCTCTCTTCCCCTCCCCTCCCCCTCCCTCCTGTCCCTCCCTCCTCTCCCTTCCCTCCCCTCCCCTCCTCTCCCTATCCCTTTCCCTTTCCTTTCCCCTCCCCTCCCCTCCCCTGCCCCTTCCTTCCCTCCCCCTCCCTTCCCCTCCCCTCCCCTGCCCCTTCCTTCCCTCCCCCTCCCTTCCCCTCCCCTCCCCTGCCCCTTCCTTCCCTCCCCTCCCTTCCCCTCATCCCTCTCCCTTTCCCTTCCCCCCCTCCCCCTCCCTCCCCCTCCTCCCCTCCCCTCCCCTCCCTTCCCCCTCCCTTCCCCTCCCCTCCCCTCCCCTCCCCTCCCTTCCCCTCCCTTCCCCTCCCTCCCCTCCCCCTCCCCTCCCTCCCCTCCCTCCTTCCCTCCCTTCCCTCCCCTCCCCTGCCCCTCCCCTCCTCTCCCCTTCCCTCCCCTAACCTCCCTTCCCTTCCTTTCCTTCCCTTTCCTTCCCCTTCACTTCCTCCTCTCCTTTCCCCTTCCCTTTCCCCTCCCCTTTCTTTCTTTTCCTCCCTCCCTCCCTCTCTCCCTTCTTCCCTCCCTTCCTCTCCTCCTCTTTTCTTCCTTTCCTCTTTCCCTTCTGAGATTATTTATTGAGCTCCAGTGACATGCTTAGCCCTGGAATAAGTGCAGTGGGGTGTGGGGGTGTGGGGAGTATGATAATGCAATGTAGGGGAACAACCATTTGGAAGGGAAAGAGAGTTTGGACACTGGAAGCCTTAGCTGAGCTGTTTATGGCTCACGGGCACAGTTTAGGGGAATTCCACTGTATTTGGTTCCTAGATGGGTCCTGAAATGTAAAAATATCATTGGTCTTCTAAGCCCTCTATCTGCATCCTGAGCCCGATTATTGTAATTTCCCCAAAGTGAACTTGATAGAGAGCTCAAGCAATAGCCTGCAAGTTTTTTCTGGAAACAACAGCTGGACTTCTTTATCCTCCGCTCCCCATGCCAGTGTGCTCTCAGTCCCCCATACCAACGGAGCGGCCTCTCCCCGGCCCAGGTAAGGCCAAATCAAGCAGAGCATGTGCACATGTCATTTCGGGGATTTCCATGGACACTGTGGATGTGCAGCCGGATTCATTGCTTAGAAATCCAATCCCAGACCCCTGCCTGCTACTGTGCTGTCTTTGCTTCCTATCTCTGGTACCAGAAGTTGATTTGATCTAGGTCCTTCCTTATTATGACCATGGTGGGGGAAGGGATGGAATTGGGAGCCATTGAGATGAAGCTGGAAAGCTTCTTTTTCTTCCTGGGAAGTACAGATTGGGAAGACATGAACTCACCACTGCATTCTGCTTTATTCTGAGTCAGGGCTTTAAGCAGGTGGGTGGGGAGAAGCTCAAGTCTGAGATCTTTTTCTTCAAATCAGTCCAAGGCATACACTCCTCTGAGGTGCCAGATGAGGACTGACTGAGAAAGATTAGGGAGTTAAAAGTAGAAGGGAAATTATAAATTAGGCAACCTGCCTGCTGGTTCAGACTCTGCCCTTTTCTGCATTTTTGATAAACCAACTTCTTCACCTTTGGCTTCTCTATGGATGTGTATGAAAAAAGCAGGGTCTAATGAGAGACCCTCACAGCACAGGCAATAGGTGTAACTGGAGGACCCATGATGAAATTCTAACCAGGCAAACTACATTTCATCCCAACTTCCTGCAGTCACCATTCATTCACTCACTCACTCCTTCACTTTTGTTAACTAACTGGTAAATGAAGGAAAACTATACCAGGCACTGCTACAACTAGGAATTTTGAAATTCAAGGAAAACATAAGAAATTACACCAAGAGCAAGGAGCATGAAGTATTCATATAGCCCAGAGAAGATGGAAGAAAGGCCAGTGGAAATGAAGTAAGAGTGGCCGATAATTTCTCAACTCTAGGGAACAATTATTTGAATTGAGATTAGTAGACGTCCTAAAAGAAGGTTAGGAGCATATGGTGGGATTTGGTTTGAGGGATAAAGACTAAAGGAGAAGAAACTGGATTAGGTTATGGGAAGAAATGAGATAAAGAATGAGGATGAATTTCTTTGGAGGGAAGGATTATGAGACACTAGGATGGGCAATGAAGGCAAGTTAAATTGATTTTTTTCCTGGAGATTAAGAGAAGTTTCAACTTGCTTGAGATAATATATAAGCCAGAAGAGCAAAAGGATGAGTTAGATCACCTCTGGAGTTTTTTTCCAGTCATAGGACTCAACAAAAAATTGTTCTGTGTTGGGATCATACAGAGGGTGTTAATGTTCCCAGTATAATACCTATAATCCAATCAACCAATTAACAAATATTTATTAAGCATCTGCCTATGCACCAGGTACTGTGTTAGATGCCGAGGATACAAAGAAAAAAATGAAGCAGTTCCTGCCCTCCAAGAGCTTCCGTTCTATTAGAAGAAGCAATGTATTGATGTAAAAATATGTACGAAATAAAGAAAAGGTAATTTTTGCAGGGAGAGCACTCACGTCTGGAAGGGATCAGGAAAGATCCTTTGTATTGAGTACTTGTATTGAGTTTTGAAGGAAACTAGGGATTGGAAGGAAATTCTAGTAAAGTCTTGAAGGAAACCCAATACTGAAAGAGCTGGCAGTATATCGTCAAAGCAAAGCAAAAGAAAACACGTACACGACATAATGTCCATAAATTCTTTCCACGTTGTTACTGGGAAATGGCTTTGGGGCCCATCAATGCTGTAATTCTGAATATTTAATGGAGCTATTGGTTGGAGGTTATCTTTGATCCTATCTTTATTATAGCTCTAAAAATCAGAAGACAAAGCAAGGAGTCTAGCTCCATGACAGTAGTCATGGCAGGAGAGGCTGAATTTACCACGGGAAGCAGTCAAGGCAACTGGGCATATGCTCCATGGGATATATTTCAGCATAAATCCAGCTACATAGGTAAAGCAAGTCAGTTGTCTCTTTCATGCAGGAGAGGAATGCTTATCACAAAGTATTGGCAGCCTTCTTAGAACCACAGGATCTTTAGAGCTGGATTTTAGGGCTCACGTAGTTCCACCCCCTCTTTTTACAGATGAGGGAATTAAAGTTGGGAGAAGTTAAGAGATTCGACTGAGTTTCACATGGTGGTTTCACACAGTCGATGGTAGAGCTCTTTCCACTGGACCATACTATGCCTTTTGGCTTTTCTAAAGACTTAGCAAAGGGGGGCAGCTAGGTGATGCAGTGGATAGACCACCGGCCCTGAAATCAGGAGGACCTGAATTCAAATCTGGCCTCAGACCAAACACTTGACACTTACTAGCTGTGGGACCCTGGGCAAGTCATTTAACTCCAATTGCCTAAAAAAAAAGACAGCAAATCTGTGACAGAGCTAAAGCTAGAAATAGAAGCCAAGGCTCCCTATCCCCAGGTGCCTGTGCTTTCCATCATGCTGCTTGTGCTTCTCTTATGCTTTCGGCAGGCTTGTTGCCCTCATCCGCCTTTAGTGTGCTATTGGGGTGTACTCTTCACGGTGCTGTTTTCCTCTGCAGTCACTACCCTTGCCTATGGACCATCAATAACAACGCCGGGAGCTCCGCTGACCCGGGCCCATCTGTGCACACCAGCTCTTCAGGCACATTTCTCCTAGGCAACACAGCTCTGTCCTCACCCCCTTCCTTGACCCCCATCCAAGTGCCCACTTGTGCCAGCACGGATACCATGGGGGAGTCCTCCCTCTCCGGCATTGCCGTGTCCACCTGGACAGCAGTAACATCCCATTCCTTCTGATGGGGGAGAGGGAGAAGCATTCTCTCTTTCCGTTATTGGACAATCCAATAAGGTCTGAAAATTAAGACCATCCATGGAGGGACTATAAACTGAAACCGTATCTGATGGATCCAGATGGATCAGACTTCAGACGATTCTTTCTCTCTTTTCTTAAAGGAGACAAGTTATCTCACTGAGAGGAGAAGGAAGAGGAGATTAGTACTACTAATGTTGGGAAGAGTTGGGGGAACTGGAATGAGCATAACATGGATTTTTGAGTTAGGTTAATATGTTAAAATGTTAGAATTAGTTTAGACTTCCCCTTCTCTATGCTCAAAACAGATTGAGGAGTCTAAACTTCAATTATCTTTTGAAGACAAAGCAGATTTTTGTTGGTGGAAGGTTGTGGGGAAGGGGTGTCTCTAGATATTATTGTCAGTAATTACTAGATTTTTTGGCCGACCTCAAGAGTCAAGAGGATAATTATAAAGAATGGTAGTTCTGAAACTGGGGAGAGATGCATTTAAGGTGTAGCCCGTATAGCTGTATGCATTTCAAACATTTTTTTTTTCTCAGATCCAATCCAATAGTTAAGATGATGCTGATGGTGCACCATTTCCCTGCCTTTTCCTCTAACTCTTTACATGTACTCTGTGGGAGGCTAGGTGGTGCAGTGGATAAAGTAACTGGCCTGGAGTCAAGAGTTCAAACTTAGCCTGAGTTCATCTTCCTGAGTTCAAATCTAGCCTCAGACACTTAGTAGCTGTGTGACCTTGGGCAAGTCTCTTAACCGTGTTTGCCTCAGTTTCCTCACCTGGAGAAGGAAATGGCAAACCACTCTAATATCTTTGCCAAGAAAACCCCAAATGGGGTCACAGAAACTTGGTCACGACTGAGCTAACAATTTTCTTTGCGACTTGTTTATTTATTCATTCAACAAAAATTATTTGAGTGAGTCCTTTGTGCACCTTGAATAAGTGAATGCCCTTGGAGCAAGGATGCTGGGGCCATTAGTGCTTACCTGAATTTGGCTTTGAAGATGACGCTCCCAAGAAGGGTTATTATGAACTTGCAGCTGGTAGTGGGAATAAAAAAATATAATCATTTATCGTTAATAGCAAGTGTGCCAGGACGAGGAGGGAGAAAATTAAGTCAGAACTGCCTAGCAGGGAGGGGGAGGAGAGCTCTGTCAAATGTATCCCTGTGAGAGTATGAATTTTGGAACCTGAAAAAAATGTTAATGATGTTCCTAGATTTCTCATTTGAGGTGCAATAAATGCTTGTTATTATTGGTATTTTAAGACACGGTGTCCCAATCTATTGTAGCAGCCTTGGGCACTTAAGATTTTCTTTAAAAAAAATAATTGTTTTTTAGGCAAGGCAATCAGGGTTAAGTGACTTGCCCAGGGTCACACATCTAGTGAGTATCATTTGTCTGAGGCTAGATTTGAATTCAGGTCCTCCTGACTTCAGGGCCATTGCACTACCTAGATGCCCCAATTCTTTTTTTTTTAAAGCTTGAATGACTTCTCAATGACTTTCCTACCTTTCCTGTCACCAATAGAACTTTCCCCTGTAACAAAGAATTATATTTAAGCAAAACAAATCCACACATTGGCCATATCTGAAAATACTTCCTTGTGACTACCACCCCCTTCCTTGGAATTAGGAGTAGTCAGTAATGCTAAAAATAAGAAGTCTTTATGGGCACCTTCCAATGCACAAAAAAGGGAGTTTACTGTTCTAACCCATGACATATTAGATTATGGTGTGAAAGGCAATGGAGGATGAATTTAGGTCAAAAGAGATATAGATATTTGAGTCACTGGAGAAACAAAGATATACCTGGGTGGGTTTCAGTTCCTGGAACTTGGGTACAATGATCTTTAGCCCATGGCAGGGGGAGGAATGGGGTTGATGATCTTCAAGAGTCAGGGTCTTCAGATCTGGCATGATAACGTTTCTCTAGGCTCTCAACATGCCTCCTATAAGTTCATCTGGGTTCTGTCCTTGTTCTAGGGTCACTTGGAGCACACAAAGACAATCTGGAGATGTGAAACTGAGGTATCTGATTTCAGATGATGGTTTCAACCTCCTCTCACTCTGTATTCTTTACTAGCCCTTTGACTAAGACCAGACTGATGAATTGGGAATTCACTTTCTTCCTTCACTTTCACCCCCAACTGCTGGACACATGAGTAAGAGCCACACATGGTTAAGGATCATAGTTTCAGAGGTGGAAGGGATCTTAGAGGTCATCTTGTCCAACTTTCTCATTTTATAAATGAGCAAATGGAGGCCTAGAGAAGTTAATGACTTGTCCCGGGTCACACAGTTAGAATAAGAGATTGGATTTGAACTAACATCTCCTAATATCAAATTCAGTTGTTTTCCCCCAATGTTTGTACCAATTTGAATTTGAACTTGTGTTTTTTTCATTGTTTGTACCACTTGGCCCATCCATTGCACAAGAGGGCTGATTGCTTTTCTTTTTATCCTCAGCACTTAGCATAGTACCTGGCCCACAGAAAGCACTTAATAAATGCTGGTTGACTGATTGACTGGTTTTTGATCTGAAGAACCAGTTTTCAAACCATCTTTATCTAAGAGCATTCATTGAGAATTCATTTTATTTAGGATAATAAAAATTTGTCTTAGAATCTTGGTACTGCTAGGTTTCCAAGAGCTTCTTGGGGATGATAAAGTCCAGGGGATCAAAAGCAGATAGCAGGTATGCCACAGTAAACATATATTTATTGAATCATGTTCTGTCTTACTTCATGGTGTCCCCTGTAAAAATCTATCCATAGTCCTTAGTCTTATATGCACCTTCCTTATATAACCACATGCTAAAAAAGTCAACCTATGCCTTCATTTGTCACATGGTGTTGTATTTGCTCAGATGCCTCAACAACAACAGGGATTGCTGTGTTCTTCCCTTCCTATTGGAATGGGAATCAGTGGCCCTACAATACCTCCCCTAAGTATTGAAAACACACAAGCCCTCTCCCTCACAAGCACTGGAATATAAATACCTGAAAAGAAAACCCTTAAGTCCTTATGTCTGATGAAGTAGAGCTATGCCTAAGACAGGACAGCTAGAGCTTTTGCCAGGTGCTACTGCTAGTGGTTATGTCCATGTGTTTCAGGTTTCACAGTCCTTTCCCTTGTAAAAGAGTGTGTTTGTGTGTGTGTGTGTTATGGGGAGGTAGTAGGGGGAAGTGGGCCTCCTGGAGAGGAAAAGGAATTGGGGTCACTGATTAATGAAGGATAGGGGAAAGGATGGGTCACACCCTTTATTTACGCAGATGTACCTGTATTTGGACTATCCCAAGGCCCACTGATGTGCTCCCCCAGTCCCTGATGTGCTGCAGACTAGCCTCTCTGAGGGATGGTCCATCTCTCTCTCACTCAGCTGAATTTACGCTCCAACCAAGTTGCTAGTGCTGCATGTACACCCAAGATATACCAATAGTAGCTCCACCTGTTCCCTCTATGTTCATGAGCAGGACCAAAATGCTCCATCTTTAAGATGGATGGGATCCATTTTGAGAGGGCTAAAAGGAAGCAACTTTTCAATTCAGGCTTTAGTCTGGGGAGACTTGAGTCCTGTGATAGGAGCAGGGGTGGCTGAGAGTCCTGCTTGGATGCCTAGAAATTTCTACCTTTTCTTATTCTTGAATTGTTGGTTGGGAACTCAACTGGTCTGGAAGTAATACCATTCTTCCAAGTTTTTGCTGTTTTCCTTAAGCTGCTTCACCCAGCTCTGGGTCCCTTGTGGAAACTTGTCTTGTTCTTCAGTTCAATTCAATTTAGCTTAATTAACATTTATTAAATGCCTACTCTGTTTACAACACTGTTTTTGGCTGAATATGGTGCACCCAGACAACTTTTCTTTGGGATGCAGTGTGGCATGGTGGGAAGGACCACTGCATTTTGAGCTGAGGTACCTGGATTGGATTCCTGGTTCTGCCCCTTGCTAGCTGTGTGGTTTTGGGCAGTTCACTTGACCTGTAAAAGAAAAGGAGTTGAATTCTCAGGTCCCTTCTGGCTCTGATTGTACAATTTAATGATTTTCTTAAGTTCCTCAAGGCCAGAAGGGTGTATTTACCAATGTTCCTTAGTGTTACCATTAGAGACCATAAGATATTATTACTGCAGAGTCCATACCAGGTGGACTTTTTATAAGAGCTATTCTGTTTGTTTGGTGGCTACTTGGATTTCGTTAGATTGTTTCCTTACATTGGAATGGCGGGCCATCAAGTCATTATCATCATCAAACATTTATTGGAGCTCCAACCATCCTGCATTTAAGGAGGGCGTCGTACTTAGCAAATACAGTCAGGTCCCTGCCAGAATCTTTGTAGAGCCCCTCAGGCCTGGGAGGGACTGACTTCTTGGGCTCATGACACTTCACAGAAAGAAATTTACGGCACAGTACTTCCTTAGTTTATTGATCAGATCAGTTTGGTTTCATGCGAAACGGCAAAGTAAGCATTAGCCAAGGACAAAGCAACTTTCATTGGTAAGATTAAAAAAAATTCCTTATTTTACACCACTGATCTAGATGTCCCACCTTTGGGACAGGCATCAGCCCCTCACGGCTCTTCAGTTCCTTCTCTGGCTCGTGTTCCTGGATCCAGCCCTGCCTGGTGGGAGGATAAAGGTTAATTTTTCTTGAATGATTGCGGCCCTGGTTTGTTTTAGCTCCTCACTCAGGGCCCTGTGCTCCCTGATCTTTTCTGCTGTGATTCTAAGCTTAACTTCCTCCCACCTGCTTAATGCAAATTCACCACCCAATGACTTTCTAGCCTCCTGGGTAGCCTTTATTGATCGCCTCTCATGACTCTGGGTCATTATATCTCATCCCAGACATTATCACAACTTCAGTAGGTTAATAAAATGAAAAAGATCCGCTCAAGTTATTCAGGCCTGGTTTGGTTTGTTAAAAGAGAAAATAATCAAAACCAGACCAGACCAGTGGTAGAAGAGGGAAGGAACTGAGTTTTGATTAAACATCTACTATGTGTCAGTCACTGTGTTAAGTGCTTTCTAAATATCATCTCATTTGATCTCCACTACAACCCTGGGAGATAAGTGCTACTATTATCCCATTTTACAGTTGAGGAAACTGAGGCAGATAGAAATTAAGTGACTTGCCCAAAGTCACACAGCTAGTCTCTGAGATCATTTTTGAACTCAGATATTCCTGACTTTATGGGGGCTTTATCCTATCCTGTACCACCTAGCTGCCTCTAGAGTGGAGAGGGCTAGGTAATCCTTTTACATGGAAGCAGACAGGAAGGGGTTGGCATTTTAGCTTTACACCGTTCTTGGTTATGTGTGATAACTCTTTTTGTGTTTATTCTATACTTGGAATTTGACACTGGCCTTTACTAGCTCAGTGGCCTAGTAATTAGGCTCTTATAGGCTCCTCTGGAAGGTCTTAAGAAGTTTTGGGATACCTGCCTGGTGTGAAGTAGGGAGGGCTGAAGAACATAGGCCAATAAATTCTAAGAGGGTAAGGAACAAATCTGAGGCCTGGTAAATCTAATTTACTTGTTTTTTTAAAGAGTGGTGTGAAGTACAGCAGATTCCAACCAGTTAAAATCAGGCAGAAATGAAAATAACACACTTATTTTGGGGAAGA